CGGGGTTCAGCACTGCAAGTCTTTAGAATCTGCCCTTAGGACATCTTAGCTGTAGGTTCGGTAAAGGAGACCGTCCCTGCCTATCGACAATCATGCATTCAGCGCTCAGTTATCTAGACAAGGCTGCATCAACTAGATTGTTGTGCTATACATAGTCTGGTTCTGAAATGGAGCTTTATGAACTATGTAATTCCCAACGCACAACAATCACTATGCAGGCTTCTGAAAGCAGCAGCATTCTTTAGTGACGAACGTCTCTGATGTGCAACTGTACTTGCACTCCTCTTTAGGCACTACTGTAAGAAACATTGACCTAATAAAAGTAATCAGTTGCATTTTAAACAAATGGTCACCTTTTGTACATGCAAGATTTACCTTACAGCTTGTTTGAAGTTCACTTTAACATTTTAAAGACTTCTGTAATACGCAGACCCTATAAAAACCTAATTGCTGTGATGGAATACCTTCCTGCACTCTTCACATACAGGGACACTTTATCTGCCTTTTTATTGTCTTGCCCCCATCTATTTTAAAACTTTGCAGCATCTCTGTCTAGTGCATAACATTCTCATGAGAAAAGATGGGGGTTTTTTTTAGATGCAAGGCACTTGTGGCTGCACATGGGAGATGTGAAAGAGTCATCAAATACAATGTAAAAAAAAGAATAAACAAAATTACTGATAATGTACTAATGATGACAATGTTTCGAAAGTATTTGCTTCAGGCAGACAGTGACACTGAGCACTGCTGCAGTTACTAGCTCCCATTGATCACAAGAAAAATGCCTGTGCAGATTTTCATTGCAGTTCAGCTTAAGTACTTACATGACACATGAAAACTAATAGATCAGAAGCTCAGAGATCTGTCTTTTCAAGATATCGGTGCATCAGGGCTGTATTTCTGTCTTCAGTAGGGAACAAAATGCCTGGGTGATTTGTCCACTGTTGCACAGAATACTTGTGATGCGCCAGGATTTTGCTTCCAGGTCTCTGAAGTGATTAGTCCAAGAGCTTCATATAGAAGGATTTTATAGCAAAAATCCTGCAGGCTTTAATGCAGTAGTTATTACATGTTTGTGAAAGTAAAACACAGCCCTGAACTGCTGTTACGGCTTCCTTTTTTCTATGAAGTAGTGATTTGGTTGAAATCCACTTTTGACACAGAGATCTGTGCCAAACTCAGCTGCGTGCATCTCATTGTTATCTATTTTATGCAAGCTTTTTAAGGACTAAACCCAAACAAGGAGAAGTTTAAATGGCACTGCATCTTCGAGATGTGTATTTTAAATAGTCCCATATCTTATTTGTAACTTTAACTGTAGTGCAATTTATGCCTATTTTGGTTAGATGATTTTGGTTAGAGAATTGTCCCAATGTCTATAGACTGTAATTGCTTTTTGTTTCTTAGGGAACACCCTTGAGCTTGGTCATGGGAGCTGTAGTAGCTGATGATGGTCCACCTGGTGTTAAAGCCCCTGATGGAGGCTGGGGCTGGGCTGTCCTTTTTGGCTGTTTTATCATCACAGGATTCTCCTATGCCTTTCCTAAGGCAGTTAGTGTCTTCTTCAAAGAACTTATCCGGGAATTCGGCATCGGATATAGTGACACCGCATGGATTTCCTCTATTCTGTTGGCCATGCTTTATGGAACAGGTAGGTAGTTCTCTGGTTTTGAAACAGTATTGCATCATACAATTACGTTTGTAAATCACACAGCCATTTCCAGTATGAATGATGATTGCATATCATTACCCGTGTGCAAGTAAGGCATCCCAAAGAATTACTATTTATCACATAAATTCAAAAGTTATTTAAGCACATCCAGCTTGCACAAAAAATTAGATCTTTGTAACTTAGTAGATACTTAAGACGATTAAAAGGAAAAATGGCATGGCACTCTGAAGACAAAAAGACTAAGTATTTGACTACAGAGGAAAGAACACTCTTCCAGATTGGCCTGACAGGAGGGACAGAGTGTAGGAAGAACCACAGAGTCATTAAGGTTGGAAAAGACTGTTAAGATCATCATCTCCAACCATAAACCTAACACTGTAAAGTCCATGAAGGAAGAAATGCAAACTGAGATAAAATGAATTGGAAAAATTGATTTATCTTCACAACTGTAACTTGCTTTTCTTGCCTAGGTCCACTCTGTAGTGTATGTGTCAACCGCTTTGGCTGTCGCCCTGTCATGCTGGTGGGTGGCCTTTTTGCCTCGCTGGGGATGGTGATAGCCTCCTTCTGCACAAGCATCGTTCAGATCTATCTAACCGCAGGTGTGATCACTGGTAAGTAGTGTGCATGGTTGAAAATGAGTTAGCCGATGTCTTGGCTTTAGGCTGAGGTTTTGTGTCACAGCTATCTAAATTATCAGGATCATCCAAATGGGCTTTTATAAAGATGGCAGACAAATGTGGAATAAATCTGTAATTTTTCTAATCAATATTAATTTTTCTGGTATGTTTAATATCCAGTGCTGTAATCAGTGAAGTGTACAGGATACAGAAGTGTTCACAGAGTACAAGAATATTATGGAAGTGGAATGCTTTCAGAAATATTCTCTTAGAATTCTTTTGTCCATTTGAAATAAAACATTTAAGTCAGGAATCAGAAAAACTGCAATTAGAATTTGTTAAATACTGATATTGTAGGCCAGTGTTATTTTTCATGCACCCTCTGTTACAGGTTTGGGACTGGCACTAAACTTTCAGCCTTCACTCATCATGTTAAACCGTTACTTTGACAAACGCCGTCCTTTAGCCAATGGGCTATCTGCTGCGGGGAGTCCAGTGTTTCTTTGTGCTCTCTCACCATTGGGGCAGATACTACAACATGAGTATGGCTGGAGAGGAGGATTCCTTATACTGGGTGGGATGCTGCTCAACTGCTGTGTATGTGGCGCATTAATGAGACCTTTGGAGCCACCAAAAAAGCCTGAAGCTACCAAAGACCCAGCTGAGAAGAAAGCAAAGAAAAAACTTCTGGATTTCAGTGTTTTTAAAGATGGTGGTTTTGTAATCTACACGCTAGCAGCATCTATCATGGTGCTTGGCCTCTTTGTTCCCCCAGTTTTCGTTGTGAGTTATGCCAAGGACTTAGGATATCAAGACACCAAAGCAGCTTTTCTTCTGACTATTCTGGGATTCATTGATATCTTTGCTCGGCCTATTTGTGGAATGGTAGCTGGTCTTAAATGGGTTAGACCACGCTGTGTCTACCTCTTCAGTTTTGCTATGATCTTCAATGGCTTTACAGATCTCATGGGTTCTATGTCTGTTGACTATGCTGGCCTGGTGGTGTTTTGTATTTTCTTTGGCATTTCTTATGGAATGGTAGGTGCTCTCCAGTTTGAAGTTCTCATGGCTATCGTGGGTACCCAGAAGTTTTCCAGTGCTATTGGCTTAGTGCTCCTGGCAGAAGCTATGGCTGTTCTAATTGGTCCACCATCAGCAGGTAAGTGTTGCATTTAGTTCAGAATTCAAAATAATTTGTGCTGTATCCATTTACATAAATCATATTACAAGGGAGCACAGAAAAAGACAACCTGAGTCGCTCGACAAGTGTGTATTGTGCTAGTGTTGCACATGCTTCAATGACTTTCTGCAGTTACAACCTGAAATAGTCCCAAGACAGGCTGGGATGAAATCTCTTCCTTCTATTTCAGGGTTGGTTGAATTGCCATCTGGAGATGCTGCTCCTTCTCCACTGAAAGTCTACACTGGACTTCTTACTAGTAGATGGCTAATATTGTATGAGTTTTACACACACACTGATTGACTTTTGTGAAGTTCAGACCTCTTTGGAATTGGGATTCAGAATAAGAAACCTGTCAATTTTCTTTGGAAAGTACTAGGATAAATTCCCTATATCCATGGTTGATTTGGAGGAGGAAAGAAAATGTAAGACGGAGGGGAAAAAAAAACACCCCACAACCAAAAACCCACAACCAACCCCTTACATGGAAAACTATAAAATGGGACTATTTTAAGGAAGGTGGACTGCTTCTGTTTCACATACCACAACCCAAGAATAAGGGCACATTTCAAAAGACTCAAATTCATTAATTTAAGCTCAAAATTTCAAATTAATTACTAATCAAAGAAAATAAGTTTTACAGACATGGAACTGAAAAAAAAACCCAAACAAAACCCAAACTCACCCAAACCCCACCAGTTCACTGTCAAAATGTTTACTGTTTATGCCAGATACTAAAAAGTATTGGGTACCTTTATTGTGACAAAACCTTTCACTGAAGAGAACAGTACTATGTACTACATTCTCTCATCTACAGGTTTGGTGATGCACATCCTTTGTATCTTCCCTCCTGTTCTTTCATATCCATCAAATCCTATGAAAGTTTAACTTGCCTAAAGCATCAGAACCAGTCATTTACTCCAGACTGGCTATTAAATAAGATTTATGTTTTAAGCAGACAGTACACTGTGTATGACGGGAAATGAGACTGGGAGCAAAAGGAAGCTGCTGATACGGATCGCAGCCAAGGAAGCACATGTTCTGATCTGGAGTACATGGTACTTCTTATCTCTTACATATGAAGGCCAGGCTCGTTTTATTCCAATTGAACTGCATGACTGTGTGCGCAGGGGATTGTATTTTGGGATGTGACAATATCAGTGAATATTAAACTGAACTGAAATAATTGAGAAACATTTTGTTATAAACTTGTTAAAATGCTACTTCAAAAAACCTGCTTAGATAGCAAGTTTAGATGACTGCTACTGCTGAACCCAGGACATCATGATATTTCTAGACAGTCATTTAAATGTTTAAAAAAGCAGAAAAATATTTGTTGCAAGATAATCACTTTTGTTAATTACCTGGAATGTTGGTTTTTTTTTTTCTTCCCCCAGGAAAACTCCTGGATGCAACAGGGAGGTACATGTTTGTTTTTATTATTGCTGGAATTGAAGTTACCACCTCAGCACTTGTATTGGCCTTGGGAAATTTCTTCTGCATTAAGAAAAAATCAGAAGAACCACACACAAAAGAAGAAGCAGCAGAAAGAGAGGAATTAAACAAATCTGAAGACAAAACTCCTGAAGATGCCAAGGTGGACTCTATTGAAGTGGAACAATTTCTTAAAGATGAGCCTGAAAAAAACGGTGAAGTTGTAACTAACCCAGAAACATGTGTGTGAGCATGACAGGAAACCAACAAAGCTTCTAGAAACAAGATTTTCAACACTATTTATTTTAGAACTAGAACTAGCTTAGGGCTGGGCCATCTGCTTTATTAACTGGAAACCGGTCGGCTCCTCAGGGCTCTCTGGAAGCTGATTAGCTAGATAACCTTTTATTGGAAGATTGGCTTGATCAGTAAAAGGTGGAGCATTGTGGTTCTATTTTTTATGCAAACTAAAAAGCTTTTATAAACACAGGTAGAGTCTTGCTATGCATCACTAGAAACTGCTCACTTGGAAGAGATATAGGAAGAATATCTTTTAAGAAAAGTGGAATTAAATGTACATATTGAGGCAATATTAGTGAATTTGCTGTGTTGTGCAGCTAAATGTAATTTCCCTTCCTGTGTTCTTTGTGAAGGGGAAAAAAACAGAAAATTCTCAGGAACTTACAGGTCTTCGTTAGGTTTTTGAATTTGTTGCGTTTTCAGATTTTTAGATTAATCAGCTCAGCCCTAATTTAATTCTGGTATTATCTATTACTTTATGTAAATGTATTTCTGAGTTTTGCCTATACCTACAATCTTTGTAGTTATCATCTGGAAATACTCTGTGGAGAGGCACATTATAGATACTGTCCTCAGCAGATCACACAAGTGGTATTCTGAAGTAGTACTAAAAGAAAATAAAATGAGCAGAATTGATCATGACAGACCGTAAGCAAACAAAGTTAGCCTAAATTTACATACACTGTTCTCAGTACAGTTTCCCTGCAGCATTGAAAGTATTACAAGTAACATGGAGAAGACAGGTATTGGGTTTAGTAGAATCTTCCCAAAGAGTGTCCATTTTGCATATAAGAGAAACAGTTTCCAGGTAACCTATAAATTAAGAGTGGGTAGACTTGAGGAAGGGACTAGACTGTTCTGAAACATGTTAGCCACCTTTAAAGTGCAATGCTAGCAAAATAGGAAGGCTTTATGTTGGCAGTGGTTTTTTTGGTAGTTGTCTCCAGCCCACTTACCCCACTTCCCTATCCGTTTGCTTAATCTATGGAACTTGAAGATGCCGTTCTTGCTGGTTAAGGAAACTTCATAGAACGGTCGATCATATGACATGGCATAAAGACTAATCAAGAACAGGTCAGCTCTGCTACTCATTGCACAAACACAGTGGGAGTCTCTGGCCAGTCTTTAAACCTTCTCTGACATTGGTACGGGGGAAAAAGAAACAGCTCAGACAACGTAGTGACAGCACATTTGAAGGAATGCAGAAGGGGAAGATTCATTGTGACGACACTGAATTCTAAAGGAAGGTAAAAGGAAGGCATCCTACATGCCTGCCCCCCCACCCCCTTCAAGAAATGTAATCTTTTATATAAAACCATGCTACTGCAACCCACCTTTCAGATGTTTATGAAAAGCTCTCTAGGTTTTGTGACTGCAATAACAATCTTCAAAACAGACTAACTGTAACAGAGTCAGTTTTCTTGTTGGTAGCAAAGGAATATTGGCTTTCACGTGCCAAAATTGTTCAACTCAGTAACTGAAAACCAGAAGCCCCTAATCCCTTAAAACCCCGTCTACCTTTAAAAAGAACATTATTAATTGTTTCATACTTGACCGTTTTAACAGAAACATACAGTAAATCCAACAAAGTGCCAAACCCATGAAGCATTCCCTAACAGAACTATCTCAGATACCAGCTTCCCTTCTGAAAGCTGCTTTAAAATGGTTTTGCATTGTTAGGATAACGTTGCAGGGAAATTGAAAAGTTAGGATTATGATGTTGTGGGGTTTTTTTGAGTGATTTTGAAAAGAAATGGCTGCTGCACTGAATAAACTGTTTATTTTTATATCACATATAGTGCATTACTTTAAAACCCTTTATTAATTTAGTGTCAGGAACTACTCTGCCATGTCCTACTTATAAACACTTAGTTGCTGAACTTAGTTCTACTTTGCTATAGACTAAATCAGTACTTGGAACACAACACTGCTAGCTCCAGAGGGCAACCATATGAAATGGCAAGAGGAAAATGGAATCCACTCATCAGTTTATGATATCCCTGGAGGCTGCTTCCAGTGATAATGTGAAGGCCCGATTCTGTTTCAAAAAGCGAAAACTAGAAACCTTCACAAAAGTGAACTTAGATTTTCAAATAGCCATTTTTGTCTTACTGTGGGTTATAGTCACTGGGTTTCTTTGCTAGATAATGCTGTACTGTTATCAGAGAACTAAATGGTTGTCCTTTTGATGTTGGCTTTTAGCACAATTTTAAGTTTCTGTACAGTCTGCAAATTGGCTAGATTGTATTATCTCAAAAAGCTGTGCTTAACATACTGACTTTCCAGACTATGTTTCATTTTCCATACATAATAGCTTTATGGTGAAGCTGGAAACAAGAACTGTTACATTACAGTTTTATGTGGTTGAGGCAGAAAAGGAAGTTACTGAGACAAGGGAAACACATTTCAACAAGACGCCATAAATAATTTCTGAAGTAAATCTAGTGTTCACAGAAAGCACCTCACTGGCCTCTGCAACTTCTTTTCATTGACTCAAATATGAACTACTCCCGAGTAGCACTGCCAGTGCTCTTGTGCTGTTCACAGCACAGACCTACCAGTGGATTGCAGTATTTGTGGGAGCAAGAGATGCTTACCTCATGAAAGACATCAAATCACAAGACTCTTTCATCAACTGTAGAGAAATAAGGGTTGGAATTTAATCTGCTAGGCAGTTTCAGAGAGGCTACAAAATCTTTTACTGTTTTCAGTATTTACAAGAAGCATCAACAGAAAGATAAGAAAATCCTAACGCAGATCTCTTAGTACTTCCGAGTTCTGAAGCCAGTTAAGCTCTCTGCTTCCATTCTGTGCCATCCATGGGTGACAGCCAGGTGTGTGCTAGCCCTCCAGTCCACTTTGTGTTCAGCTGCCTTTATTTCCTTGGGAAGATTTTGATTAAACTGACGGGAAGGAAAACTTCATGCCAGATCACTAGCCTGGATAACTGTGGGCCAGTATGCCTGGCTGTGCTGAGGTATGTACCCTACTGCTCCTATGGACATGGCCACATCGGGTTCCCGTATTACAGACCTCACTCCTTTGTACCAAAAAAAAAAAGAGGCAAGCAGCGAGTCCTCAGGTTCCCAGTGCTGTCTTGGAACACCAGCTAGGACCTGTCACATAGAGGACAGGACTGTGCTCCAACCCTTTCTCTTGGCAAGACTAGCCTGGCTCCTTAATAATTTAACTGCTTATTGTAAACTCACAGGGAATTGCTTTTAAACCCCTCCAGGTATTTTGGTACAGTGTTTCTTTAATCTCAACACCACTAAGATCCCCTTAAAAGCAGCCTGATAGATGTGCTATTCCATGTATTTTGAGGATGTGCATGATCTGAGTCATAAAGCATTGCTAACGAGACACTAACTGCCTGAGGACACAAGCAGAACGGTTCCATGCAATACCTGCCTGGATGAACCTTTGTTCAACCTTCACATGGTTAAAATTTTGTGATTTAAAAACAAACCCAACCAACCAATCAAAAAAAACACCAAAAAAAAAAAAAACCCCACCAAAAAAACCCCTAACCAGCAAAACAACAGGAAAGGAGAGGGAAGGCAGGTAATTATATAACTGAACTGCCAAGCATCCCAAAGACACAGCTGTAACTTGCTCTTGAATGATACACTACTGGAACAAATCTAAGTCTTGAGGGAAGCATTTGAAAAATACAAGTGCAAAAATTCCAAGTATAATACAATAAAACAGTTGAAAGAATTTTCAGATTATTTCTCTGAAAGTAAAGAGCAGCTTTTTAGTCTAAAGGCTGATTTTAAAAGCTTTTTAGGTCTTCACACACATTCTATAAATTGTGTACTATAAGATTTATGGTTAAAAAATTGTATGTTTGGTCTCATGATAGATCTTAGGCCCTTAGTTTCCTAGTGCAAGGAGAGGGTGTGTATACAACTGCCTGTAACACACAGAGACTATATAAAGAGATGTATATGTATATGCACATATATATATACACATATGTATCTATATATATCAAACATGCAAAATACCCAGTAGAGTAGAACAGAGATAGTTTGCCCATTTACTGGAGAATGAGCAATGCAAAATTAAAATTTCTTCCTCCTCCTATACAAAAATAAGTTTGCTTTTTTAAAATTACTAAATAAAACGTCCTGTAGCTATTTGGAACCTGGAAGGTCTCAGCAGAACTAAAAATGATTGAGCTCTCTTTAAAATCACACTCTAGATTTTGTTTTTCTCCAGTCCTTTAATACATTACAGCGAGTCTTCAGCAGTTACCTGCTGCTAAAGCAGCCAGTTCCCTCAAGCTGAGACTTGAGACGGTATGAAGGTATAGTATGAAGGACTAGACAGATCTCATGCTTGCTAATATTAAATCCCATCCAAACAAACGTGTGTTAGACAACGTAAAATCATTCTCTAAAAATAAATGAAAACATTCCCCTAACCAAGCAATTAAATTCCAAAATGAAAATACAAAATATACTCATGTAGGCACCTCTGTTATGTCCCAAAGAAAAGCTTTGGTTCTGTTGGCAATCATAAACATAAGGCTTTCAGGAGAATGCAAACTCTTAAAAGTTACAACAGTAAGTACTGACTTGTGCACGTGTGTCTGTGTCTCTCTACCACAGCTGTCTTTAGGATTAAGGGAGTATAATTCAATTTTGTGCAAGTGAGATGACTTTTTGTTTCTTGTTAATGCACTTCTGTGTGATGTGTACATTTATACTTTTTTTTTTTAATGCTTTTCTAGTAAACTATTGCAAATATAGTGAATAAATATTTTTTTTGTTGTCACAAACTGTGGGTGTGAGAAAATAAGCTCAGAAAAAGTAACACCCAGATTTGGAAATTCGGCTTCCTCTGTACATGCCCAAAGAGGTATACAGAGCTTATAGAGAAGAAAGTAAGTGGAGACAGTGAGCTGAAAGGCAGCCAGAATTTCATGTGAGCAAGGGGACTGCTTCTGCCATGACTCAGTTTGGCCAATTCCACAATGGAAATGAACTCCTCCTGTATTTACAGGACTGAAGACTGTTTTAAAGGATCAACAAATTTTAAAATAACAGCTATTAATTTTGTGGTGATCTATGTAGAAATTATTGTTCTTGTCCTCTGAAAAGTGCTCCAGGTTTTGTTTTGCAGGTAAAGTGTTATGAACCGCTATGACTTATAAATCCCTGAATATTTTGAGTATTGACCTGCCAGCAAGCTGTCTTTATCAAGTGATGCTCTTTAGAACTTGAAAGCTCCTAGGAAAGAATACTTTAAGAATACATTTATGGTGGTGTATTTTGGGTCCTATGGTACCCTAGCTAAGACTGAGCTACACCCAAGTGAATCAAAATTACAATCTTTTCAATAGAACAGGAGCTACATTTTGCTGTCTAGAAGCTATCTAGAAGGCTCACACCTATTTGTGACTAATTCTAAGTAGCTCTGCTGAGAAATTCTGAAGAAATCTCTCTAAGCTTGCTTCAAAAGTTTCTCTGTGCATTTACATGGGAAAAATCGTAGGTCTATTCACATAAAATCCCACATTTGAATAAACATGATTACCTTTGTTATGCAAATTGGTAAAACTCAAGGTGTAATCAAATGCTTTGCTATCCCACTGGCCAGATCAAACCACATGCTGCTACAGGAATGACTGTTATGGGTGGACTGAAATGACAATTTCTTAGCATGCAGTTAACATCCTTGTGACAGTAAAAACCAAGGAGTTTATCTTTGCCTCTGGTACTGTTTGAGTCTGAAAAAAAGGAGTCAGGCCATTTGCTGTGGAGGAAAATGAGCATGACTCAAGTTGCACAGGTCTTGTTCCCTGCTACTGGACTTGTTAAAGGTGACCCACCAATATTTGAGAAGCAAACAATTCTAACAATAGCAGAGGCACTGCATATAGGAAGCAACAGCTTCTGAATATATTATTTCACCAGCCTTCTCAATGCTCCTGCAATAGAGCTCATCTTTGTGCCAGCAGGAAAAAGGGAGTATCTACTGTAAAAGTCAGGGATCTTAAAAGTATCTTGCTAGAGACAGTCTGTGAGATCAGCTGTCCTGCATTTGACCAAGAAAGTATGGAAAGTTAAAGGCAGAGAGTAAAAAGCTACTTACCTCTAGTTATATGCTCTTTGTTCCTTGACTGATCTCAATACCTGCCCCAACATCTCTGCAACATTTCAGCTTCCAATTTTTCGCACTATCCCTAGATGAATGCTTTGGAGCGGTGAGAAATTAGGGTAGCTCTTGCTCTTCTGACTCTTAATCTACTACTGCTTCAGCAATTTAAGGCCTTTCACTGGGAAACTGAATCCAATGAAGAAGCATATCTAGATTTTAGCATTTAAAATTCTTAAATAGCAAAAGACTTTTCAGTCTTGCTGGAAAATGTGGTATAAGAGCCAGGGGCTGACAATGTCAGGTAACGGCAGCGAGAGCAGAGGAGCACTTGCTGTTTGGGGTCTTTTAAGAAAAAATCTGCGCATGGCCTTGAAATACTGTGAATCACTGGTTTATCCTTTCTTTAAGGATTATGGGAAATGCCAGCAGCTCTGCATTGCCTTTGTGCCTGTAAGGCTTGTAGCTCTGAAACAACTGTAATTAAACCAAATGTTTTGTCTGGTTGTGATCAGGACTAGACATTTTCTTCCTAGTGCATAATGTACCAAATTAATTGCTGTTTTGTTCCATATCTCACCCCATCTCAAGTGTCCTGGATTGGTCACAGCAAAGACACACTAAACTAGGGCTTAATGCTTTATAATGATATAGTTTTTCCTCTTCCCGCTCTCCTTGGTCCATTATGCTTATATTTTTCAGACATAGATCTTATACATGCACCTTAAGTTAAGAATTTTCCCAAAATGAAGTTAATAAAGAATGCTCTTAAATGATCATTTTTGTAGACTGCATATTTTTTAGATTCTGTATATACAGATCTCATCTAATTTTCTGTTGTCCCTCTGCTTGCAGCATGCAATGGTTTCATTGAAAGAACCAATTTTAAGATAAAGCGGGAAAAAAAAAACCCAACAATGTCTGAGAAAAAAATGATAAAGTGTTACTCCTGTGCAAATATGTCCTGCTAAAAGTAAGTACGATTTTGCTGTGAAACAGATTCTAATTGAAGATCAGGCCTCTGAGCACTCTGCTGGTACAAAACTACTGAACAATGCAAACAGTCCATACAATTCAGGTTCATACAATCACTTAAATGCAGACATAAACATGTAATGCTAGTAACTGTCACCTGAATGAACCAGAGGGAAGTGTACTGTTAACAGCAAAACCTTTTTTATTATTAACTTTTCTCACCTAGTGAATATTAGAAGCTCCTGTAAGTATGTGGTGGATTACATTTCCTCCCGATTGGATTAAATCTAGATTTCTGACCAGATGGCTCAGCACTATTAAAAAACCCTTAAACAGCAGTGGTGTTTGTTTTCACTTAGTGTTTTACACACGTGAAATGCTGCATTTGTAAAGCAAAAGGTAAAGAACAAAATAATTACCTTCTATTTCATTCTTTTACAAAGAAAAAAAATATTCTTGAAATGAACATGTATGCTCTAGCCGATGATCTACTGAAATCCACAAATTCATTGCAAAGATTCTTGTTGGGAAATTCAGTTTCTTAAAGTGTTGCCTTTGACAGATTTTATGGAGGATCTGCCACTCAAGAGGTCTGGAACATGGGGAAAAGATGACAACAAATAGTTGTGCCTGTGCTGTTTTTCCCCACTGGAGAAGGAAGAATGAGATGCCTCCGAGTTATACATGCATTCCTCCAAGGGAAATTCTGAGTCTTTTCATTAAGTTACATGGCATATATAGACTCCTTAAATGCTTTTACTTAGTATCTCTCCCATTGTAGGATTTATTTTCAATTGTTTTCAAGGTACTTGTAACACAGAGTTCAGGGACTCTGTAACCATTGAGTATATAAAACAGCATCACAGGAAGAATGTTCCACATAAAAGCACACAGCCTAAATTTTTCTAAATGAAAACTGCGAGAATAAATTAAATATCCTTCCAACTTCTAAAGGCATGCTAATCAAACACAGAGAATTCCTGAAGGCACATTTGCCCTCAAATTATGAATGGACTTCTGAGAATTACATGGCAAAAGCTCGGACTTCTATTATAAGAGGGCACTGTGGGTAGAGCTCACTATTTTTTTTGGTTTTATCCTAGCTCCCATAATTGATCAAGTCTTAATAGCAATTCTCTTTCCGTATGTCCTGGGCTTAAACCACACCACCATACTTCCTATCAATACAGTATATTACTTTGTAAGAGAAGTGTTTGTGAAAAAGACTTCTGGAAAGGAAGCAATATCCAAACAAAAGCATTTACCTTCAAAGAGACAAAAGACGTCCTTTCTGTGAGCAAAGTAATGAATGCCTTCTCTTTCTTCCTGTATACCCTAACTGCTGTTTTCTGACCATGACTACCAAAATCCTTCGGTGAAAGGTTTAGTACCACAACTATGTCTTCTGTAGCTACAGAAACCCCTTAAAAAAAAAAAAAAAAAAAAAAAAAAAAAAGAAAGAAAGAAAGAAGTCACACCAAGCAAAGAGTAAGGATTCATTGTAAGTAAGTTACACGCGGGAAGAACAGAAGTTGTTATGAATGTATTTACACAATTGTCAAAGTACACAAATACAGTAGTAGTACAAATGAAGTGCTCTGAGATACTGGTTTACAATACAGAGGTTTATATAGACAGTCTATTTTCTGCATGATGAAATTTAAGTATTATGAAGGACAAAAACTGCCCACAAGTGAATACAGTTCTAGAAGTCTGCAGTCAACTTTTAAGTATAGTACAGCAACCTAATTTTCCAGATACAGAGAGAAGAGGCTGCCTTTGTAAGTTCCTCTAACAGTACGTTATTAACCACAGATATTTACAAAGAAAGCACAGTGAAGTGGAAAACTGTCCAACTGGTAGTGCACATGCCTAAAATATTGAAGTTTATAATAACTGAGGAAATAATCACCTTACGCAAACTTATCCATGGATCAAACTCTTAAGCTTTTCCATTATACTCTCCCCAAACACAGGTTTCCCGAGTCACACCCAGAATACACACAAGTGAGTAGCTGATGTTACTAATACTTAATATGTGGACTTTTGAGAGGGGCTGAAAAGAATCTGTAAACACCAAAACAATAAAAATCACTCATCATGAAACTCTGAAGACCAACAGGCCTTACAAAAAAAAAAAAAGGTTTGGTTGGTTGGTTGTTTTTGTGGGTTTGTTCCCCCCCTTCCCTCCCCCCCTTCAAAATACCCAGCTGTTCAAACAAAATCTCCATATATACTTTAATTTCCAACCTGGAACTTCTAATTACTTCACTCATAGTTATATAAACAGTACTTCTGATACTGTTCCAAGTACTCTGAGGACAGAACACCTACTTTTACGAGACTGTTTAGGGTGTATTTTATGAGACCATTTACAGTAATGAACAATAAGAATAATCTCCCACTTTCCATAAGCAACAGGTGCTAACAACACCTACAACAGTTTTTTGGATTACCTAAGCATCTTGAATCATTCATTCCTAGCTAATGATTCTGGGTATATTCAGGTCGAATACAGTGAAGAATTAAATATGGCATGCATCTGAATTGTAAAAATTCTCAGGATTTCACAGCAAGAATGGGTTGCTTTCTTTGTTTGCTTTTTAAAAAATAATTTATTTTTTGAGTCTTGGCATGAAACAGAAGGCCTGAAACTATCCATTTTTAAACATGTAGATGAAGAATGAAACGCGCAAATTCACTGAAGACTCAGTAGCAACATTTATTTTCGACTTGCAATACCCTCCAAGCTAACCAGCCTCAGTGCAGGAAGCAAAATTTTACCAGTAAAAACCAAGCCTGAAACTATCCGTTTACCCAAAATAAGCAGAGACACTGGACAAGCTTTCAAATTCTAAATCCCTCAAATGCCAGAGTTTTTTACTTGGTATTTCATATACTGTACCCCCGAAAAAAATAAAAAACCCATTATTACCATTTCTACTATACTTCGACTCCCCTGCAGGGTATTTAGTTCTCCTTTTCTATGAAAAGGAATGAATACTTAAAAATTTCTTTGTGCAACACGGAAGTTAAATGTTAAGTGTGAATGAAGACAGCAAACAGCAAAGTAAAATTCTAACAGTTTTTAAATGCTCATGAGAAAACCATCTCCCTCAGAATGGGACCACAGAAACAAGCAAATAGTTTAAATAAAGTCACACAGTTCTGATTCATTTACATGACTAATTCTTTTTTAAACAAGAAATTTCAAGTCATCATCTTTAATTTAGGTTTGTTTATATTCTACATTTTTAAATCAGACAAAAGCAAGGAGTTCTTTACAGAGAATTAAGCCAATAATTTTAGCAAAATTATACAAAAAACTTTTTTAAACCAAGTAAAAGATCTATAGTTACAGTAGAATAATAAAAAGTGGGTAAAGTCTGCCGCCTGTGGAGGGAAAACTGAAATGGTCATCCGATAACAGGCGGTCAACTTTGTAAACCATCTTTCTTTTCCAGCCCTGTTACCGCAGGGTTCTCTTAAGGTCACTGGGTTTCTGGCAAAAACGTCCTGCAATGGCAGCTGCTGGAGTCTGTCCATGTTTCTCCAAGTGCCTTTAAAGTCACATGGAGAATTCCAATTACAATGTTTCCACTCTAGTTTAGGGTATTTCTGCTAGTAAAGCCATTGGTAACATAGGAGATCAGCCATGCATTGTCTGCCCTCCATGGCAAAATAATTTTCATCGGTGCACAGCAGACTGGAGAACACTGGTAGTTACCCGAGCAGGAATCTACCAAAGCCAAAAAACAAGACAATATCAGCACATATCCTCCCAGTTAACATACAAGTGGCTCTCAATGTACTTTTAAATAATTCATTGCCAAAAGTAAGCATATCAATTTAAAATCCAAGGAGCTACACAATGTTTGACACCCACTGTAGCTACATGAAGCTCCCTGCACTTTCATCCTTTATTAGAAGTTAACATGGAAAATTCATCTTTCCAGACTGAGGGTATGTTTTGAAGAAAAGTAAACAGAGCATAAACATGCACAGAAGAAAGAAGAAACCAGATGAAAACACTACCAATGTGTACAACAGACTCAGTGAATAATATAAAGAGGAAAAAGTTCCAGTAAAACAAAAAACCAAACCAAAACAAACAAAAAAACTCGCCAAAACAAGCCCCAAAACAAAATAAAACAAAAACCCACAAAACCCAAACCACACACAAAAACCAACTTAAATGATTTTCAATGGCTTTTCTTTTTACATGGGACATTGTGTTAAAAGACATTTCATTAATTTCCATAGCTTGACCTATTTCAGTAACAGTGTAACATTATTTCAAAGATACTTTCACTGTGAAAGTGAAAACCAACCACACATTGCTGCAATTTAAGAAGCAAGAAACATCTGAGTAGGCAAACCAGTATTCAGCATTAATTTCAGTTACTAACAGCTGCAAATAGTAAGACATACAGTAGAGGCCAACCAGTGCAGACACAACCCTGAGCAGACCGGAATCTGCACGTCTCCCACACACAAGCTTTCCAATGCAAAGTTTTAGGTTTGCCTTTTCTTATATTTTTTTTTTTCCTTTTTCTTTTTTGACTAAGGTCTGATAATTCAACTTTAAATTGTGAAGCTGCCATTTACAGTTGGATCTTTTTAAAGTTATGATCTGTTTACAAAGCAGCTTGTGCACAGTCAGCCAAGCACACAAAGCAGGAGGAAAAAACTGAAAAGGAAGAGCAGGATTCTTCACCAACTAGAGATAGGGGATTAGTGCAAGCTTAGGCTTTACAGAGAAAGTGAGGCAGCAGACAGTTATAAAACAGATTTTATTAAGAACAGAAAAATCTCATAGCCTTTTAATAAGAAGCAAAGCAACAAAGCTCCTGAAATATTTAAGAAAGCATCCTTCAGCCATTAAGGTTCAGATTCCAACTGAAACTTGTTATTTCCCTGATGAAACCTGTTATTGCCAAAAGCAGAACAGACTAAAAAGCCAAAAGCTGCACACAGAAAGGCAGAAACTTCTACTGCACTAACAAGTGGAAAGGAGTTTTAAATATCCAAATCCAAGTCTGTCTACCTTTGAGATGTTCATGTTCAAACTATTCTCATTAGTATGTGAACATTTTAAAAATATAGATCTGAGTATTTTTTAAATGACAGCTCATAAGGAACAGAGAAGAATATAAAACAATGAAAAGTGGACACGTCTGTAGTGGAACATTCCATTCATGACAAGACAGAGCCTCATTTGAGTAATACCGTTAATTAAGTCTTCATATAAGTGTTTTGGTTTTATTGTTCTGAAGCAGATCTGCTTTTGAATGGACGACACACTGCTGCATGAACATCCCTGGAAAGACATGTAATTCTCAAACAGTGAAACTTTAGACCTGGTTATTTTATTTTATTGTTGATGCTTGAACAATTTTAGGGACTTTTTAAGTCACTATTTTTGTCAGTTCTGCTAAAAAGTCCAAGTGGAACAGCAGCAATAAGTCAACTTTTGGAGAGACGTTTACTTCTAAGTTAGAGAAAAACCAATGCTCCATCAAGCATCTGACCGGAAGGCACAGGTGCAACTATGAGAAAAATGTGTGGAGAAGAAGCAAAATTGGATGCTTCCAACATTTTTTTTTCTCCCCCACCCCATCCAAAATTCTGGTGTCTAATGAGAAGCACTCACCCAGTGCTGCCTTCCAACGAAAGGAGACGAGCAGCTACTTGCCATGGTGTTCGAAAGGAATGCTATTCTGAGGTAGGGGAAAAGACAGCAATTTGTAACAGTTCCACTGCCCCAATATATAAAGATGTCTAACAAATATCCAACCTAAACTTGCAGTAGCAAACGTAATGTTTTTAGAAGCTCTGATTTCAGACTTCTGTAAGTAATTTCTATCATATTAAGAGATATGCAAAAGGAACAAATCATTATTCCTCAAAGAAAGCTGACAGGGTAAGAAGAACAATGCAGAGTATGATGCCTATTAAGATGGATATATGGACAAAGATTTGCTCATGAGGAGATGGAAAATGCAGAGGCCTTGGAAGCGTGTTGCTTTTTCCCCAGGGAAGCAGCACAACACTTAAGTTGTTCAATGCCAGTGTTGGTAACAAGTCTTCTAAAAACATCTCCTGTCAAGGAGACTTGACCAAGTACTTCGTGCAGCATTCCCATCTTTTCTTCTAACTACGGAAAGAATACCTCTATTACCAGTAGGAACTATGCACAGCTTTGGTCACTGCTTTTGAGATGCAGTCTATGCAATGTGGACCAACAGAATTGATACAAAGCAGTATTTACTGGAATACTCATGACCGCCTTTACTACATTTCTTAACGCTTAAAGACTGACTACATAAATGAGACTCAGTGAACAATCCACTCATAGAGCTTAAGAGCAGAAGGATCTTTTAACAGTGGGTACGATTTTCTGTCCAGCACAGATCACAACTCTTCACTGCACAGAAACTTGTAACTTGGGCTTGCTTTAGACCTGAATATGCCACCTAGAAACGAATCCAGTTTTAATGCAAAGGCAAAGATGATCTTCTTTCAGAAGCTGTTTCTGTGGCAACTGTCTTCAATTAGACCCGATTCACCTTTCTTTAAATGAGTGGTTTTAATTTAAGCAACAGGTTCTTCACATGTTTTCTGCATAAATGTCAGCTCCTGCTG